AAGCATATTTTTTTATTGATTTTTATGTTATTATATTTTAAAAAGTGTCCACAATATTCTGGGAGGCCACTGTATTACGTATATTTCTCAAATAATCGTTAGCAAATCATATTTTGCCATATGCAATTGTTGTTAAATCTGGCTTATATACTAAAAGAAGTAAGACCATGTTATCAAACAAAATTCTGGAAATGTAGGATTTTTATGTGAATTTCATTCCAGTAGTTACATGTAATGTTCATCACATACATACATCTTTCACCGCAAATTTAAAAATCATTTTTGAATCAAATAACTATAACATTTATAAACTTGATAATTTTTTTAATATTAATTCGACCTTCGGCACAAACTCGAACTTTTTTTTATTCTCGCCATTCTTGAACCAGTTTCCAGTCGATTTGTAAGTTGCTTCTAAATATGAAATGGCCACAACGCGATAGTATAACTTCGTTTTCTGCTCATGTTCACTTGTAAATAAAGCACAAAACTTGCACGCGAAATAAACAAAAAAAAGGATACAACTTGAAATGTAAAGTAAAACAAAATACATAAATATAAGAAAAAAAGAAAAATAAAAAACGCCAATACTTTCAAAAATTAGTATTTACATGCATATTTTATCATGAGCGTTATTTCGAAAATCAGGTTTAACGGAAAATCGACCCTTTGTCTCGAAATAACGCGCAGGTGGGTGGTAAGTGGTGTTATATTTATTCTTTAAATTCCATGTGTCGTTTATTTATGCTTTGAACTATATATGGGTTGGATTTCATATATCTGTGGCGTCTATGTTACTAAAAATTGCCCGATTTGTTTTTTCGTTTTAGCGTTAGTGATGCATTACTTTTGTGTGTTGCATTAACATTGACGTTATAGTTGTATAATACATGTATAAATGCACACTTGGGAAACCTATAATATCACCGCATGAACGATCTTATCGCTATATTTTATAGTAATTCTTATTAAATATATATTCGTTATTTGAAGATCTTATCGCTATGAATTTTGAATTTGTCGTGTAAAACTTTAGCTATATCTTATAGTATTTCTTATTATATTATTCATTATTTGAAGCTAAAGATTGTAATTCATCTTATATCTACTAATTATTTGAAAAACTAAAAATAATTGCTCGTCAGGAACAAACCGAATTCATCAATAGAAGCGTTATTCAAATAGATTCGGTTTGATTTGTTTCTTGTTACCGTCGGCCAACTTTGAATCGCTTGCTCGTTAACGAATCGTATTGACGTACTATTATCGCTTAAATTTTCTGTTAAATTTAAGAGTTCGTTGGTGTTTAAAATAGAAAGCTTTGAGCCAAGCACGCTAAAGGATGATGACGACGATGATGATGCTGTCGTTTCTTTATTATGTGCTGTAATCAGGTTGTTAACAGATTCTTCAATCTTATTAACTTGTGATTCAAGAATTTTGATGGTTTCTTCATCATCGAAAACTGAATGACAATTGCAGTCTTGATGTGGCAATAAGGATTTTGCCCCGGGGAGCAACTTTTTTGCTCTTTTCTTCGGTGGATATAAAGCATTGCGAATCTGAAAGATTGAACGACGGCCGGTTAGATCACCAATTTCAGAATGGTTGCGTTTTTGCGCTTTTTTGCTAATTGATTTAACGATATTTGATTTCGATAGCACCATCATTTTATTCTTTGATTTCATTGCTTGGATAAAATTTCGAGTAAAAGTTCAATGTTATTTATATTTTTCTGTGTGTCTTGGCTGTTCTTGCCAATGTTCCTTTGCAGATTTTTGTGTTGCTGCTGCAGTGTAGCTTCAATATATTTTAAGAATAAAAAGCAAAAAATAGAACCAACGGGATTGATTATCTCAAATTATTAGGCGAAACCCGGTACTTAGCACAGGGAAACTTTTAATTAAAATATCTCATTTTAATATGACTGCTGCAGCGTAACTTCAATATTTTAAGAATATAAAACAAAAATAGATAAAACAAAAATAGAAACATGGTAATCTTCCCCGAAGTTTTGATTGGATAATGGAATATCTTGTCGATATTGGGAAAAACACATAATTAATATTAAAGTTTGTTTATAGAAGTTAGGGTTAGATCCGAATTATATGTAAAATTCCCTCTGAGCAATTTTTTATTCAATTAGCGATTGATTTTTCGTTGTCCAATCAAAACTTTCGAGAGGAAATTATATTGTGTTAATATACATTGATTGCAATCTGTGTACAATTTTTAACCATTTTTAGACATCATTGATTTTTTTGTTTTTGATAATTGTCTATATACTATATCACTGATAGTATCTTCGATTTATAATATCTCTCTAGATTCAGATACGAATTATAGAAAGATTTTTTGAATATCTGAATATAAATCATAGAAATATGATTTGTATTATTCTATTTAAATATTTCAGCAAATTATTAATTAATTTACATGATACCAATGTTTCAAAATTTGCATTCAACTGATAATTGTATTTATTTATCATTATCATTATTATTTATAATAATTCTAATTATATATTAAAGGTGTTATTAATATATTTTATATAAAAAAATAAGAATAATTTTTTATTTATAATAATTCACATTTTACATTACTTCTATATCAGAAAGTTTTTTAAAGTATTATTTTTTATTATTACACATATTATTTGATATTAAATTATTATTTAATATATTATGCTAAGTTAGTTAATATCTTATATATATTATTAACTAATGGATCATGTTAATTTATATAATATATGCTAAGTTAATTAATATCATATACTTTATTAACTAATAAATTATATTGATTTATTTAATATATAATATTAACTAACTTAACATATAGTATATAAATTAATATAATTTATTATATAATATAAAATTATATTTTTATTTATTTTATATATATATATGATCTGGTACAAAAAAATTAGTACATTAGATAAATATTAATAAATTATTTTTTCAAAATAAAATTTTGATTCTGTCTTATTTAATTAAGTCATAGATATTGAAATTTATTTAAATGTAAAATTTTTTATTATATGTCTTTTATAAAAAAATTTTACTAATAATAAACTTTTTTGAATAATTATTTCTTAAATTTTATTATATAAAATTAATATAAAAATTATATAGTAAATAATTTAATTACTAAACTTTGAATCTTAATATCTTTATAACTACTAATTCAATTTTTATGAAATTTAAAATATATATTTATCAAATCAAGAATAATTTGCTTGTATAATTTGAAACTTTAATATTATAAATTAATAGTAATAATATTTAAAATATTATTTTTTTTAAAAAAAATAATTTTATTTTAGTAAAGTAATACTTTATTTATTATTAAATTAAAATATAATAAAATAATTTAAAAAGTTAGATTATTTTTGAAAAAATTATAAAGATTAGTTAAAACTTGAATAATTTTTATTAGAAATAATTTTAATTTTATATTGATATATCAATTTTTTTATACCAAATCATATATATAGAATTAAATAATAAAATATATATTTTTAACTATATAAAATATTTGTTATTTTATATTAAAGTAAGTATTTTTTAATATATTATATAATATAATAAATTAAAAAATATATATATATTAATAAAATATTTATTTAATTATTTAATATATGAATAAAAATCTTAACTAAAATAAAATTGAAAATATTTAAAAGTTATAATAATAAATAATTATATTTGTGTAATTTATATATAATAAATTATATTATTATATAAGTATAAGATCAAAAAATAATAATAAATAATTTTTAATTTTAATACAAATCAATTTTAAAATAATATATTAATTATATTTAAACTTATTTAATATAAGTAATTAAATTTATAATTTTTTAAAATATATATTATTATTTGTATTATAATTTTTATTTTCTTTCTTATTTAAGATAATTAATATTTTATTAATTCTAATTTATAATACTCTTTATATAAATATAATTATTACTTATAATAGATTAATATAATTATGTTAATAAATTTTAATATAATTTTAATTATAATTTTAATTAAATAATCATATAGTTTAAAAAATTTATTTGTATTAAAAAATATTTTAATATAAGTAATAATTTAAGAATTAAAATATTTATTATTTCAAAAATATTAAAAATTTATTAAATATTATTAAAGTAAATTATCTAAAAATTTACTTATTAAAATTAATTAATTTTATTAATTAGTAATATTTTTTATTCAAGATAAATATTTTATAATTATAGTATAATAAATTTTTTAAATTATTTACTTTATAATCTTATATATTTATTACTTGCTTAATATAGTTTTTTTATCAAGTTTTTATATAAATATTTATAAGTTTCTATTATAAATCTATTAATTATATTATATTTTCTAATTATTTAATAATATAATAATATTAATTATATAATTTAAATAATTTAAAATTTAAAATATTCAATATATAATTAAAGTCTATAGATATAATATAGAAAAGATAAAAAACTAAATAAATATATGATTATTAAATTATTATAAATTTATTAAGTTCTAATTTCAAAATATTTTTTTATTAAATATATATTTTATTTTAATAATAAAAAATTTTATTAATATAATATTATATTAATATATAATATTTATATTAAAATTTTATAATTAAATATTTAATAATGAAAAATAATACTTATATTATATTCTGAAATTTTATTATTATAAATTATAATTAATATTATAAAAATTTAGAATTTTTATATAGTGCATAAAATAATAAAAAATTATTAAAATTATTTAATAATTTATATATATTTCTTTATAATTTTTAAATCAAGTTTGCTCAAAATATTTTATAAAATTATTATTTATTATATATATTATTATTCTTTTTCTTAATAAAATTTATTATAAAAAAATAAGTCAAATTTAACAAATATTGAGTTTATATTATTAAAAATACTATTAAATAATTCTATTATTTTATTATAAATAAAGTAATTCATTATATTACAAAAAATATTTTTATAAATTTTAATATAATTCTGATAACTTTTTATTAAATAATTAATAAGATATAAAGTTAGTTACATTTATAATTATTTTTAATTTTTATAATTTAATAATATTTTTAATAAGATATTATATTAATAAATCTTAAGTAATTTTGTTTTTTATATTAAAAAATATATAATTATAAATTTTTATATAATTATATTTATTTTTTATCAAATAAATAATATGCAAATTTAAAATTTTCTAATTTTTATAATACCAACTGTATTTAATATTTTCAAGATTATATTTAAATAATTTTAAATATAAAATTATTTATTATAATTATAAATAAGATATTATAAATAATTTTAATTTATAAATACTTATAATTTTATTTTTTAAATAATATTTAGATTTGAGAATTAATAAAAATAATATATTTATATAAAATAAAAAAGTATAAAATATAAATAAATTAATAATTCTAAAATATATATAATTAAACATAATTAAAAAATTAAAAATTTTATATCATATTTTTAGAGAGCTAATTATACTTAATTTAATATTATATAAGTAATAAATAAATAATAATAAATAAGAATAAATAAAAAAATATAAAGAAATTTAATTAAAAATATTAATTAACTAAATTAATAATTAAAAAATACATAATAATTATTTATATAATAATATGTATAAATCTAAATTAATTAAATATATAATAATTATTTATATATTTAAAGTAAAATTAATTTTTAAAATAAGTAATACAAAACTAAAAATATAATACTAATAATATAAAATAAAGATCTAAACTAAAAGAAATATAATTAATTAATTTATTATACTAAATTAGAAAATCTTGAAATTATTACTAAATAATAAAGTTTATTAATAATAATATATTTATTATATAAATTATCTAATATTTAAATAAATTTAAATTAAAATAATAGATTTAATCTAAAATTATACTTATATAAATATTTAATCAACTATTATTTATTAGATTATTTATATTTAAAATATATTTTATAAATATTTATAAAAGATATTTTTTATTAGATATAGAAAATACTATTATATAACTTTTAAATTAATATTTTTTACTATTTAAGATATTTATAAAATAATTTAATAATTATTTAATTTTATATTATTTAAATTATTAATTAATATTAAATATAATAGTAATTAAAAAGAATATAATACTTGAATCAAATTTTTTAAATTATAATATCTTAAAAATATTAAATATATTAAATTAGTTACTAATTAATTTGATTTATTATATATTATGATTTTTATTATAATAAATATAATATAGATTATTAAATAAAATATTTTAAAAATTTAAAAAATATATAAATTTTACTGTTTTATTATTTATATTTTTTTTATTAATAAATAATTTCAAAAAATATTAAAAATTTTATTTATAATTTTTATTGAATTTTTTGCTAACTTAATATATTAAATTATTTTTAATATTTTGTATAACTTCTTTTGGCTTTTATTATTTCTTGAATCCTTTTTGATATTGATTTAATTAAAATAATACAAGTTTTAATATTAATTTTTTTTATATCTTTTTGATTTTTTCTTATAGATCCACTTTGCTCACAATTATGTCAGAAAGATGAGACAGCTCAATATTAACTTGCCATTATAGATATTTGATTGGATTAATATCTGGAAATTATAATAGTCATTTATTACTTCAAGATTATTTCAATGAACCAGTGTTTTATCAAATTTGTTATATGTTTAGGATTATTATCCTATTGGAAAATGACTTCATTTTTATTTAAATCATATCACTTCAATGTTCACATTAATTTGTCAAACAAACAAAACAAATAGTCAAAGAAAATCACATGTATTATATATGTTAATAAATATAAGTAGATCACTGAAAACAAAATTTTTGGTACAAATTTTTATCAATTATACCCTCAATCCAGCAAAGAAATTCAACTTTCTACGAATAGAAACAATCACATATCATAATCTTTCCACCTTCAAAACTTTTTAGTGGGTTTAACATGTGGATTTTTTAATGGCTCGCCTGGTTGCTTCCAGTAATATTAGATACTGCCCGAGCCAAAAACTTGAAATTTGAACTCGTCAGATCAAATTACTTTGGACCAGTCTTCAACGGTCCAATCGGCATGGTTTTTCGCAAATTTAAACTGACATTTTTTATGATTCTCGTTCAGATAGGACTTCTTTTTATCTTCACAACAACTCATGATTTTGAAGGACGCAGTAGATTGTAGGTGCCGAACATGGATATTGTGGTTCGTATAGAAATTTGACATATCGGGTGATGGAGGAATTCCATGAGTATATTATTCCTCCAAGCTTTCACTCTTTACACTCCCAAGTTATCCCTATTAGTGTAGACAAGCTATTGCTGGAATAATTTATTTGTATTAGATTCTGTAGCAAGGATTGTCTATAGTAAATAAACTCACTCTATTTTCAATGACAGATTCCACACTAATGCAAACTTTTTACGAATATCTGATCTATTCGCTAAGAGCTAGATAGTAGAAATCATCCAAGGGTTTAATACAAATTCATCGGCACCAATGAGTCCAATATCTTCTAAATAATCCAAAAGTCTATCGGCGTATTTGGAACCTTCACGAATCAACTTCTGGAATAACTTACCGTTTAGGTCAATCCATCGGCCGATTAGTAAATTAAGTACTGCTGTTCAATGCATGTCCATAACGTTAATTTATCACATTATTATATCGATTAATTTAAATATACATTTTATTATGAAATTAAAAGTGAAAGAGAGTTTTACATCCTAAAATACTTTCATGGATCGCGTTACTTTGCACGCATATTAAGAGGGATGGTACTATTTGCTAGCGCCCTATCGGATGTTATAGACACTGGGTATTACATGAAAAGAATATTGCATTGTTTGTGAATTCCCTATTGCTTCTACTACGGGAGGTTGCCCCAAACATTCTGCCAAGTTTCATGCACTGAATTATCGAATGAGGCAAAAGTATTGGATCGAAGGTCCTTCATCCCGAAAAAACCTTTGAATTATCTGCCGAGAAGTAAGCAAAAAAAAACTACTTACATAAGCGCGAGACACCGGGTTGTGTGATGAACGTCAAAGACAGCAGATACTATATTTTTTATAATGCATTAATAAATTGTAACCGGAAGGTAAGACTTCTTCGGAATTATATTATATAAAAGCTGAAGAAGTCTTATCTTCATTAATATGTATGGCCAATTTCGTGAATTTCAGTAGTAACCCATATTACTTTATAACAAAACTTGTCTACGCAATATCAAATAAATCTAGAATATCTTCAGCAATTGGCATAGTATTTATATTTGAACTAGAAATAATTTTATTTCCAAAAGATTTCTCATTGATAATTCATCAGAGGAGAGTTTGCTATACCATACCTACATTTTCCCAATAAATTTCATTTCCTGTCTGGCATGAAGGCAACTCAGGAGCGTCTTACTGTCAAACGACCCAATCAGATGGTATATTTGAGATAAGCTGCGTAAAGTGATGCATTTAATAAACCAAGTTTTGCTCGAATTGTTTTTAGCTCTGATTTTTTAGCACTGCGCGATGCATCCGAATTATCATATACTCGAGCCACTTCAGCCACTAAACCCTGGCGATACGATATCGATTCAGGGGAATCCATGCATGTTTTGACATCGTCAGCTTTATAACGTGCTATATCGTCAATGTCTCTAGCGGGTGTACAATTTCTTAGTAATTCCAGACAAATTCGATGGCTTTCAGCACGAGTGGCGGTTGTTAATCTATCTTCTTTATAATCTTTACGGGTGATTGCTTCAACGGCCATTTCATTGTTAGTACAGCGTCTCATAATTGCCTATAAGCTCTGAACCATTTCATATAATTATAGTTCCCATACTTCGAGATGAAGTTTTCGGTCAATGATTGAACAATCTGCAATATGGTTTAACGATAGAGGAATTCGCTTTTACAACTTGAGACAACGATGAAACACTTTCATCAGATTTAGGAATGGATTCTATGATGGAAATTATCATACCCGCTTTTCGGAGAAAATCAACCAAATAAGCACCGGGAACGGAATTTTTCCAACATATATGCTACCATAATCGAACAGTTGGTATGTGCTTATTTCGGATGATAGAGTCTATATCTTGGAAATACTCTTCTATTCTGAAGTTCTCGGGGGAGACATTCACGTTTGACCTTCAATAACCATCGAAATAACCCTTCTTCTGTAATAGGAATATTAGATGATCTTTGCTCGATATGACATATATAATCTTTAATACACCGCAAGCGGAATAACATCTGTTTGTTCCGGCGTTTGTTTCTATATAGCTATCGAAGAGACAGAATGCTCGCTCAAATTTTGGATCATACAAGATACTCCTATTTTTAGAGTACTAGTATATGCAACTAGATCTACATCTCTCCACAATTGCTGAAGCCATGAAGCTTTTTCCACCGGATCTGATTTGCCTTGATATTCCTTGATTCGCAATTCTGGAAAATCAGTATTAAGAGCACGAACAATCCTATGCACATTCTTTCTGAGATGACAGATGAGCGATACGCTTTTTCGGTTCTCAAAAGGCAATGAAACCATCTGCTTGGCCCAATCCCAAAGTTCGGCTAATATGGTTTCTTTATTAAGAGCCAAGCGGAATGTCTTCCCATTCTGAGTGTTATGGATAACTGAGAATGTTTTATCCTTACGAAGGATCTTAATCCATTCAATATTGAGATCAGTAAGGTCATTATCCATGACGATAGTACGCCTCGCTTCTTGGATTAATTTATATAATTTTTCTATTGATACTCCTGCCAAACGACTTTGTGTCTCAATGATAGACACTATTTCATCAAGCCACAAGTTATATTGAATTGGGAAGCATTTGCATTTTTTACTACATTTGCAATTATTAGTAATGCGATGTAAGCTCTTTATCTGGCATACTACTCTTTTGTGATCAAAGTGGTTTATATTACCGTCGATATCACAAGATGATTTGAAATTGAATCTTGCAGTAACAGCATTCGAATGAGAGTGGCGCGTGGATAATACTAGCAAATTCACATCATCAGATATAGTAAGATGCTCAAGAGCGTATGTTTTTCCAGGTTCTCAAGGGGGCCCTACATAAATATCGCCTTCATTAGGTAATGGTCTTATATACCTCTCTTCATACGTTTCTGTTGCTGTAAGGTTTTCATTATACAAGCCTGGACCTTTTAGCTTACGAATGCTAGGTGAAAATACATATTTTTATTTTCTTACTGAACTTTTTCCGCAATAGATGGTTACATTCAAAAACTTCTCCAGGTTCATCACTACTTTGCCGAAAACATTTCACATACATGTCCGAACCACCGCTGATCCTTGTCATGTATGCGTTTACAGAGTGGGCATTCTAGCAGGTGAAATTTTTTTTATAGGATTATTTAAATATATTCTTGTTCTTCAAACACAACTTGAATAAAAATCCTTAATATAATGTTATTTTCACATTAATTGGGTTGATATACATTTTATTATTGCAATAGTGATCTGAATTATTATTATATTTTATCCGACAGCTAATTTTCTATTTACTCTACTATTTTAGAATGTTTATTATAATAAAAACTACAATAGATCTATAAGCTCAACAAATAATAAACTACAAACGAAATATATCCACATGTCAAAACCTTTGCTCATAATGACATCAGCATTACTACTCTTATTGCCATTATTTTTACTATTAATTGACGGTGTGGGAGTAGTTGAAAGAGTAGCACACTCATCATCATTAGTTCTTGAAGGAGTCGTAATGGCAGCCAAACCTTTGAAATCACAAGCAGCCGGATTCTTATTTTGACTTTGATAATAAAGATTAAACTCATATGACAATTTGTCTGCATCGTCACAAAAAGAATATTTTCCATAGGCGCCGGTCGTCGCATTCGCGGTGATATCAGCACACCGTGTGTACCCACAAATTAATGAAAATGCATCAGTTATCGTTTGGTTATTCGAGGCAGTTTGATTTGAGGTAACACAAGATAATGAAGAGACCATGCATTGACAGGCTTTTTCTGATGGAGTTGGTGGTAAATGTGCGCTTGCTTGCCAAGTTGGTGAGTTACTCGGACAATCTGAAGGTTTATTGTCTGGTGAATAAGAATCGTATTTAACACCGGCTGGATTAATGTTGGCAAGTTGTTGCTTTAGATTATAAAAATCTTGTAAAGGTGTAATGCTTGAGTTGTCATTTACTTTTACGAGACCGTAGTTATTAGCTTCCTCAGTCCATTCATACACAATTCCTCCAGACCAAATCGAGGTCATTTGAGGACCATAGAGAGTTGCTACTTCAGTAAATGGACGCGGACTCACCAAATTACATCCGTATTCAGACATGAGCACGGGAATACTATAATTCGAAAATTCTTGGGTTCTCGCTGCCCACCCTGACGACTCAAACGTCGAATTACCACACCATTCGTATAGGTTAAGACCATAGAAATCCGCCTGCGTATTCACGTTACCATCACTTATACAATCAAAATATTCTAATAATGAGACTCGAGTGTCTTGATCGTCGTTGCTAGCATATCCCACGGGAATTGGTCGATTGGCCGTGGCATTTATGTATGATTTCAGATCACGAATTGCAGCTTTTACGAAAGCACTTGCTGGCGTATTGCTTTTGTTATTGGTCACTTCATTGCCTGCAAAGAAACCCAAAACATTTGGGTATTTTGCGAATGAATCTACAGTCGCCGTGTAGTGATTATAAAGATCGACATTCCATTGCGGATTGTCACGGTTAATACTGAAATCAGGGGTTGGAAGATCCAAGAGCAAGTAAATTCCAGCATCGGAAAACATTTGCATACATTGATCATGATTTTGGCTAATATCAACCTATACATGGAATTGAGTAACGTTAAAATTCAACTCCTCAACTATTATTATAAATATTATTTTAATCACCTCATATACGCGAACAGCGTTAACACCTAATTGCTGCAAATAAGGAAGATCCCTTTTACAATCATTTGACGCAGCCAAGGGATCATTAAAATTTGCGGACCCTGTTGATCTTGGTTGATATGCTACACCTTTGATGAAAAATTGGTCTTTGGTGACCGAATCAAATAATTTCGCTCCTTTGATTATTATTGGATTTGTTGCAGATTCCACCAATCTATCGTCAACTTGTATTATAGAGGCAATAAAGAGAATTAATATGTTTTTAATTATAGAAGAGGTTTCAAGTATCATCATTCTAGATTATTCATTTTTTCTTCTCTGAGTTTGCTGAATTTATATATTTTTAAATGCATAATGTCGGGACCGTTGTGTAGTGTACATTTTAATGACAAAATCCAGCTATATACGGTTAGTTTAATTTTCATTTTGCATGTGTTCGGGCGTTTTTACGTTTCGACGTTTCTTATGGCAATTGCACGCGTGTATATTTGTTATGATTTAAAAATAGTAATAGGGATATCGTATTCTTTACGTACGCATTTAAGCAATGTACAGTATGGTGTGACTAAATATACATGTAAAATATAAATATACGAGAAAACATCTAACTATGTATAACAAACAATTTATTATAAATACTGTTTTACTACTATTTGACTTCAGTATTAGTGGGATCTTGTTGCTTCAGGAACCCAGCGCTACCAACAAACGATTCGATAGTTGTCTAAGGAGAGAATTTCAGGTTATTAAAATAATCAAATAATATGCTAAGCATTCAAATTTATTCACCTTTACAATATCGATAACGCTATCAAGAACATTTGCCGCTTGTTCAAAGTAACTAATTTCTTGTGTTTTTGACTGTGATGAATCATCATTTGCATTCTCCTCTTTTGTTGGCTCGTCATTAGAATTGTTGATTTGGTCAGTGGGTTGAACTTGAGATAATTGTTGGTAGAAATAAGTATTTACTGCTAAAAAATAATATGGGAATTACTGAAGATATTTTACCTCCAACCGGATTAAATCCAACTCCTTCTAATGCTGTCGAAGCTCTCACTGGAACATCCGCTGGTGGAATTCGTTCGACTTCATCAATTAAAACAAATATAGTTCCAAAATAAGTAAAATAAAATGAAAAGAAAACCCACGTTTTTATTATGAATGCATACCATCAATAGGTGTTTCACTGGCGTTCGCGTTTTCAACACGATTATCAACCTGATCATTTGGTGTGACTTGGTTGCCTTCAATTTTTTCAGGTCCGGTTTCAGGACTACTTTCTACGACTATAGGAATAGGCATGTCACTTTCTTTCGTTGTCTCGGATTCAGTTTGTTTTTGAGAATATGGATCCTGATCTTTTTGATTTGAAGTTATAGTTTCAGAATTTTCTTTATCATTCACCATCTTATTTGTACTAGAGCTATCTAAAGATTCCGCTGGTACATCCAAATATTTATTATCGTCGTTGTTGTCTACTAACTCATCATGATCCTCTCGTTTTTTAGATGACGGTATTTCATTGGGGTTTTCCGCAATTTTATCATTCGTGTCATCTTTAGCTATTGAAATCTGATTCGATGGTTTGTCAATGGTTTCACTATCACCCGAAGTGAGACCATTTTCGTTTAATATTGTGTCGGAGTAATCTTTTAGGTTGAATAATTGAACATGGTCATCTACGAGTTGAGGTTTTGAATATGCATCATTACTATCGTTATCACTCGGTGTCTTGATAACACCCTTATCGTGTTTTTCATTGAAACTTAAACTATTGTCATTACTATCAAATTTAGTCTCCGACATTATGGAATTTGCAAGATGTTTAATTGATTTGTTTTTGAATTTTAATCTCTCCGAGCTTTGGCTTGTTCTTTATATTGAGAACGAGACCACTCTGTCACGATTTGATGATATCATAAAGGATGACATCATGATGATGACAAGACAAATATTAATGCAGTTTGGATAAATATGGAAAGATCAAATTAACTTTACTGAACGTGGATCTTCGGGCATTTGATGACAAAATTATGATGGTGAGGAAGTGACGAAATTATTATGTAAAAGTCACACTACTTTTTTTTCCACACGTGCGCCTATGAAAAACAATATAAATACATTTGGGAGAATGTGACATGTAAAAAATAATCACAAAATAAAGCGATCATGGAACAAATCCAATTAAAGTTATCAACATATTAAAAGCTTTTGATCTCTTGAAAAAAACCAATACGTGTAATTTGATGAATAGCACATTTATTCGACTCTGGCAAAAAAAATTCCCACATGTGCATATTCCAACAAAAGGTTCAATGACATTGAATTGAATCGCCGCGATTTCCGAAGATAAACATGGTAAATAATGAGCTTCTCGATTAAGTTGAGTTGATTTAAATTAATTACTTTTTAGCTGGATCTGATGAAAATGAGTCACGTGTTAACGAAATTCATGCCAAAACATCTACAACTACGGATTCTAAAGAAAGAGACGAAACAGCAAAACTCGTCGAATCAAATCAACATAACCAACAACAGCACAGCGAACTAACCAAGTTAACAAAGCTGATAAATATCACAAATTTTCCTCTCCTTCCGATAATAATTCAAAAATCAGCAATTATCTCTGACTATTCTCCGAATGAAGTAATAGAGTAGCAAAAGCAGGCGGAAAAATCGATAAAGTCTATGGAATTGTGTAGTAAGCTTTTCTCTTTTGGAGCGTTATTGTTGAGTTAATATTATTTGTATCTTAGAAAAATTGTTGAACAAAAACATAAAAACAAAGGAACAGCTAAAATTAAAGGAAAATAAATTTAACAATTTTTATTTAATGTGACGGATTAGAAATTAAATGTCAGTATACATGTACTCTGTGATATAAAAGAATTATATCAGTAAAATTGTATAGTATTTTAGCTGTATAAATTTACTATTTAATAGAATTATGATAATTTTTGGGTCATTTTATTTAATTTTTTTTAAATATAACACGTAATCCAATCAGAATCGAGCGAATTTTGTACCATTTGATTCGTCTCAACAAATCACTACTGAATCAAAAAGATAGGGTATTATGGGTATTATGACGATTGAAGTATTTTGACGAACTGCAGATTTGATCATAAGAATCGCCGCACAACAAAATTTTGATATAAATCGGCAAAATCTGGCTTTCAGGGAGTACGGTGATTTACAAGCGTGATATCTCGATAACTAATGATCGGAACTACCAACATTCAAATTGTCATGCCTAGACGAATCGAATGTTTGCGATTCGTTCTGTTCAACCCCTTATTTTATGTTCCGTGTATGAAATTTATGTTAAATTTATTCTAAATTGAGTCTAGTATGTGTGCTATTATGAAAGCATTAAGTTTTTTTTCAATTAAAATCATTATGTCTTGAATATACTCCACGTAAAAATATTAGACAGTCGTTAAAATTCCACGTAAATATTAAACAAAATATACTCGTCAGAAACTTGACTGATGAGTTATTATTACATTAACAAAGCAACGGTGGTTGTGTTCGTGTAAGGCATCGCTAATAAAATAATAAATAATTAAACATTTATTTTCTAGCACAAAGACCATAAGTAGCTTCAATAATACCGTACCCCCTTGAAGAAAACTTAATCGAACAGCTAAATTTGGTAGCAAAATTTTTTTTAAGCAAATGCAATGTGAATCTTAATTAATTTCTTAAAAAATGATTGGTTTTAAATTTTCTAATAAATAAGTTTTATTCGGCAAAGTATAAATGAATTTTTGAAACAAACACATCGTTTTTATCATTTGTTTTGGAAATTCTTCGTCTGTTGTATTTATTAGTTATGCCCATATAAAACGAACAGATGCCTGAACTCTCTAAATACGAGAATATGTGAAGAATCCTGTTATTTTCGTGAGCACCTGTAAAATTCGTTTTAGACTTATAAACATGTAAATTACATTAATAAAAGCAAATTTTTACTTGTGTAATTCACGTCCATGAAACTGTCAAATATGAAAAACAGCAACACTATATAGCGGGTGGTGCATTTTGATAAGGCATACAAGCAGTGAGATCGGACCAATTGTCTTTGCCATCGTATCAGTAAAATGGAAAACCAACGTTTCGCAGGAAGTCATAAAGGTAGATTGCAGTAATTTAAACCAATAATAAAGTTTTAAGAAAAGTCCATACGTTAAATACGAATTTCTATTAATAATTCAATGAAGTACATGCGTTAATTTCTTGGTAAAACGATGAAAAATAAAATTTTGGGCTCTTTTTATTTTGTAAATTTTATGACATTTATCGAAGCATGCAAACTACATTGCAAAAAAATTGGGACTTAGAAATTTCGATAGCTCATTTTGTCTGACAATAAGCATCTTGATTTCACATGGGTCTTGTTTTAGTACATGTATTATATGATTTTACTACGCACTACGCGCAACAGTCATAATGAATTATTTTTATAGTGTCATTTTCCGAAGAGAATGTTAGTTCCGCGTATAAAAATAAATAATATACTCTCACTACAAAAAGTGCGAACAAATATTAAGTGCTTTTATTTAAAATGCTTTGCGAAAATTCGAGCTGCGCACGATGGCAAGTACCGAGCTGCGAGAAAAAAAAATTCTAAATAAGTAAATCAATCATCCCTTATTCTCGATTTGCTATTCGTGAAAAATAAATGTGCTGATAAATAGATAAATACCAAGATTTAGAAACATAATATTTATTTATAAAATTCTTTTTTTACGCGAGTCAAAAACGGCGGTCAAAATTGCATACATGAAGTTAACTAAATTTATTATTGACATTAAGCTAATACATAAATTAACACAGTCATGAATGAGTGTTACATTAATTAAGTATAAAAATAGAGTAACTCAACTCGTGAAGTCAATTTTTTTGAACTTAATATCTTTCTTTTCATTAAAAAAATGGTTTTACCACAACTTTCTGTAACTTTACAAAATCGTAAAAACAAAAAATCTGATGAGATTGACACTACAGGAAGAAAATATATATTTACAGTAAGAGGGAATTCTTATCCTCAATTACGACGATTAAATAATGCCAAAAAGTCAACCAATTGTAAATATTGCGATAAAAATGACCAATACATAGATGTTCTTGAAGCTCGTTTAGACGACATAGATAATGAAGTCGATAATTTAGCCGAAATTATTTCAAGAAACGACAACAGTTTTGATTTGAATAAAAATTATTTTTCGTCAAGCTTTAATGGTTTAGATCTTTCAACTATGGTGAGTAACTTAAAATTTACGAAAAGAGAGAAGATTTATTGATATATTTTTCTTTTTCTTTTAGGATATACAGGATCTATTAATGATTTCAAATAATATCGGACAGGGATTATACGACGTTGTAAATAATAAATCTTCAAAAGAATGAAAACCAAGAATATTTAAACATTCACATGAATATCAATTATACGTGGAATCTGATAATTGTTATATGAATTTCGATTTGCTAAAAGAAATTTATAAAGCTGACAAAATATGATTCCATCGTAGTCATATTTTACTGAACTGTATTTACCACATAACGTATTATTGTATATTTAAAGGCTTTTATTCAATGATAATAATAGATAGCATTCAGTTAGACCATGTAACATGTAAAAAGAAAAGCATACATATGATTTTAAGTTTTTGATTTATGCATTTAATTTTAGACATACCAATTAAAGATTTTTGTGCTACATGTTTTTTTAATCGGCAAAATTGATCTACGACATGACAATCACGCTGTTCAATATAAATATTAATACTGATATATCTCTTCAAAAATTTAATTTAAGGGGAGTTTAACCGTTCTTAATGTACGGTAATAAAATTCTTAAAATTTGTGCAACCATATACATGTAATTTAGTCCAATATTGCGTGTTGTATTATGTGATTATTATTTAAAATTACTAAACAAAATCGAACTCACGCGATTTCTTCTCTGAAATAAGAAATTCGAACATTCAACGCATGTCGGACTATTAAATTTTCTCAAAGCATCAAATAAGAGTTTCATATCAATAACATTTTGCACGTTTTCGATCGTTATTTGTTACACTTTGATATAAGCGAAGTAAATCAAACAGTCTTTAAACACAAATAGGAGACGCCATTTTCATAAGTTTGATAATTATTGTTCGTAAATTTTAATCAGCAAGAGCTTTTTCGAAACTCATGTTTGTAAATAATTTCATTTATTAGTAATCATTCGTTTATTTATCAGTCAAATCTCATTGATGCAAGCACTTAATTGTTTTATTGTAATATTAATGTTATATTAGTGTTTATTTTGTTAAGCTCAAATCATACTACATGTAATAATAATTTATGGCAAGTAAAAGCTGGCTATTAGCAAAAGCGTTATTTCATTTACGTGCGTTGGTGTTCATTCATTTTTAAAGTATCAATGAATCTTTTTTTTGGTTGGTTGTGATACATTGGTAGCAAACGCCCTAATATTACTTCGATAAGCAAATATTCTTGAAACATTTGTTATACTCGAATTTATCGTTTCTAATAGAGTCCAAACACTTGATGATTTGTCCCAAATTGCTCATTTGTTTGTAACAACATGTTTTTTTGGTTATCCTTCTTTAGAGTCATTATTCAAGGAAGCCAATTAAAGCTGCTTTTTCTTAAGAAAATCCTTTGCCAAAGCTGTAATAATTTGAGAATAAAGTTGTCGAAAAGATAATCCAAATTCCAATATCTATCCAATACCCATAATCAAAAACAAATAATAAATTAATTTAAACTTTTATTAAAAGATTGGCGAGACA